AGAGAAAGAGAAAGAGAGAGAAATATCAAACTCGGTACTTCAATGAATATATTCATAACATGACACCTGCTATTATTAATAAACAAGGCATACAAGACTGGTATTGTAGCATAAATCTCTTTTTACCTCTTAATTTTTCTAAGGCATCCATATCCTCCTTGTAGTCGTATTTATCATCGTAGTTTGCACCTTCAGGGTCTGGCAGGGTCATGGTCTCATATTCTTCCTCGTCTTCCTCCTCTTCCTCTTCCTGCTCGCAACCGTCCTGAGACATGGCATCGACAGGGGCAAATTCGCTGTTGTCCATCTGACTGTCAAGGTCGTCTTCATCTTCATCACCATTGTCCTCTTCTGTGCACACAAGACACATATATCATAAAAAATTCCTTTTACTGAATGGATAAATATGTGAATGAATGAAGGAATAATAAGTAATAATAACTTTTAAAAGGAGACATATTTGGGGAGATAAGAAGGGAGTGCAATAAGAACAAAAGCAACAATTATAAAAAGTAGAATGACAATATAAAATGAATAACAAGAAACCTTTACGAAAATAGTGCATAGAAAGGACAAGCAATCGGATAACTAAAGAAGTACAATCACGACCACTTTGAACTCAGCCAGAAACACAATCGGAGAAATAAATACATTACTGAAAATACTACCTTCACTGTCCAAAATCCACGCTGCCTGGTACTCTGACGTTCCCTTTGGCACTCTCTTCGTCCTTGGCTTCGGCTTCACATTCTCCTCCGCTTCTTCAAGCTCCTCTTGGGTCGGCCAAGTCTGTTCTCCTTCCATAGGGTCAACCTGCCAGCCAACACCTCAAATTAGTCTAATTGGTAATGATATACTTGTGTGAAGCCAATTTTAAAATATGTTAATAGGGATAAACATGCTTGTGTAAAAACAGATCAAATATGTATAATTCTATTGAAGATTTAACTGGCATTCATCAATTACATTCCTTATGAAGTCAAGCTATTCATTCTCACTTATACCGTTTTCCACATCAGTCACAACGACCTCTTTGAACGTCTCGCAAACTAAAAGCAAGTAAAGAACAAACAAACCTCATTCGTTGATACAAGCGTTTCTTGGTGCTCAGGATCGGCCTCCTCGATCAGCTGCGGTTCATCATTTGTCATGGTAGCGTTCTTGCCTCTGCGCTCCAGGGGATGGGGGTCCTCCAACAAGTAGGTGTGACTCATCTGGAAGTCTCCCCATCCTGGTACGTGGACGAGGCCATTCACTGACAGCGGTTGTCCTCGCACGTATCCATACACTTTCAAAGTCCCTGTTGGACCCTAATGGAGAGCAAGCATGTATAAATGTATAATTCTTTCAGTATAGATTGTAATTTCTTTTAACTTCCATTTTTTCTTTCTTATTTGGTATAATTTTTGTTATATTATCATTACACAAGAAATAAAAGCAATCACTGGTCAATTAAAAAATCTCTGTGGCTATGTCTGTTTTGTATTAAACTGTCTTGAGAACATCTGCCAGGTATACTGTTGCTCACTGCTGAGTGAAAAGAGCTATTCTTGGGGGGAGAGGGAGAGGAAGATGGAGAGAGAGAGATAGAGATTGAGAGAGACAGATAAAGAGAGAGAGAAAATGAGAGAGACAAAGAGAGAGAGAGAGAGGCAAAGATACATAGTGCTCTGATTGCTCTTTGTATTTGGTTATTTTGAGAAATGGTCACCGTATGAAATTTGATAAGGCCTTTTGAAAATTCCAATGTGTGACACTCTAAACAAAATCTGCACCAGTACATGTAAAGGGCACAACTATATATAAGCACCAAACGGAACTGATCTTGTGAAATACCCCAGCATACCAATACCTCCAACCTACCTTTTCCTCAAACTCGACCTTCTCCGCCATCATGTGTGGTCTGTTGTCCTTGAAGAAGATGGAGCGCTGCTTTTGCGAACCAATGTGCCGCAGAATGAGCATCGCATCCTGGTCACTCTCTAATGTGAAGAGCTTGGCATTTCCGGGGAACCTCGACTCGATCTCCTTGACGACACGCTGCCTCATCTGCATTTTTCTCTGTTATCAAACAAGAGTGAATGCATTAGAACGCCTGTTAGAATGTGTCTATTACTTATCTAAAACTCCAATATAAAATATTATACATTTACCTCAGAATATAAGTAAATCAACACCCTGAAGACAAAGAAATAAATCCAAATGTTTATGCTCTGATATAAAATAATCATAGGAAAGTATCAGCTTCTCAACTCCTTACTATTCACAAAAGAAACCCACTTCATCTCAACTCCCTTTCCTTTCCAAATGAAAAAGTGTTGAAAAACGAACAAACGAAAAACTTAAAGAAAAGAAACACACCAGAATAACAGTTATAAAAATATGAGTAAAATAAACAATTCATGCCAAACAACACAAGCAATTTCCAAACCATTCTTTCAGGAACCACAAAAATTCACTTGTATTTATGCTAAACAGACAACCCACAGATGGAAACCATCCATGAGACAGGAATAACATCATGAGGAGCGATGAATGAAAATTTATGACGCCATAAAGCCAGATTTCACTGAAATGTTCTCTTCTAGTTTTGAGTAATAAATATCTATTAACCTAAAATTGCCAGAGATGACATGTACATTCATGCCTATTGTTGTTTAGTACAATAATTGTGTTTAGAAACAGGTGGCTCTGCAAGTGGTCAATCACCAGGGAATCAATCCCTACCTATCTCATCTATTTCCATTTTTTCCTTGACTTCAGAAATATTTTTCTTTCCTTCATACTACCTTTTGCATTACTAATAACATTATGACAATCATAATGTCAAGAAAAATAAAAACAGCATTGATATCAAGCCCTTGCTGTCAGTCTGAAAATTCCCCATCAATCACTTCTACCAGGAAATGTTAAAAGCAGTCCACCTGGTCTTTGCATTATTCAACTGATCTGTCCAGCCCACCACGGGGAGCTCCAGTCTGCTAGTGCAAAAGCAACTTATGACAGCGTGTAGGTGAAATATCTCATGATGGCTATAGCTATCTCTAGCAGTAAGGGGTTGACAGCATTCACAAAAACAAATTTTTCCCTAAGCTCAAGGAAAGGGGAAATCAGGTAGGGCATACTAATTGACTCCCTGGCGGCTAAGCACTTATGGAGCCATCTATGTGTCAACATATTTCACAAAACAAAACTACTGTAGACATTACGTGTTCTTTGCGGAAGTGGGTCATGTAGCTTGAATTCCGAAATTACCCGTTACACTCATACCTTTTCCTACATTTACTACAAAGATTCTTATGACTCAGGGAGGGTTAATACCCATGGGAGAGAAAGCAAAAGAATATGAAAGAGAGAGAAAAAAAAGAAAAGAAAAGAAAAAAATTACTATAGTTATAGTTCTAACTCCTATCTTTACTGCACGTACGTCTGTTACATGTTTTGCAGGAATGGCAGCAGAAAATAAATGATATCAACCAAGGACATCTCATCAGATCTCATCAAAGCACGACAAGTTTTCTGGGATAACAACCTAGGGTCTTGTAAACTCATGTACATGTTTGTCACAGGACTCCAAACTCTGAATATTATCCCTGTGTAGATTTCTGAAGAAATGTATTGCACAATAATTTCTTTAATAAAATAAATAAAATAAATAATAAAATAAATAATATAAATAAAGAAATTTCTGAAGAATTCATTGCACAAGAAATACTACAACTTATGACACAAAGGAAACCAAACCACCATGCATACCTACTTCATAACACTACATGAGAGAAGGTCAATCTCCTAGAGAATATAAACAAAATTCTAAGCATGCCACACTCAAAACATAAGGAAGAAAATACCCAAGTCTCATTATTAAACTTGTGACACACAGACACAGACACAGACACATACACGCACACAGACACACACGCACACACAGAGACACACACACACGCACACAGACACAGACACAGACACACAGGCACACTGACACACACACACACACACAAAATCTCACTGGTTCCCATAGTATTCACAAATCTTAAAACTGAGATAAGTACATGATATGGAACTCAAAACACACCTCTTAGAATAACTACAAATAACCACACACAAAGGCCGTCTGTTAATATCAAAAACACATCTAAAAAGACAATGCATAAGATACATTGGACTTTTTCGCCGGGGACGGTCCCAGGACAAGACGAGAACTCAGCTCCTCGTCTAAGCTCCCTGTGTCCATCTCCTCCGGGACACCTGATGTTGCCTGCAGTTCCCAAGATTTGCGTTTCAAATATCTTTATCTTAAAACAGGCCTATCTCTATGGGTTACATGTTCAACTGAGTTTTCAAGGGGCAACAGAGCAGTCCTCTCTTCCTTTTTCTTTTTTTATAATAAAAGCAAATTATCAAATGAAAATACAAAGACTTACAAGAAAGAAATGAATGAAGGAAATATAAAAAATGAGAGAAAATCCAACATGAGAATAAATCGTCCAAGAGATGAATAAATAACAAAGTAACGCAACACCAATCTACACGCACCTTGTGGGCCATGTCATCCATGGACGCAGCGATGTGTATAGTCGCAGGTAAAGCTTGGGCCATGATGGACGACAACACAAGTTCAGCCGCGTCCTCCACTTCGTCACGGGGTGGCCATAACAGCATGAGTGTGTTGCTAACCTGTCGGACAAATAGGTTTTTTAAACAGTTATCAGAAAACATGTCTCACTAATATTTTTAAATGTAAGACAAAAATAAATGCACAGAAGTGTCCTCTAGTAATTCTCGACACCTAATGGTTTTCAAGTGTACAGCATGAATAAAAAACAATGCAGCTTTATTGCACCTACTTTTACGCTGTCTAAAATGGCGTACAAGTCGTTCACTGGGGGAATAATGAAGGAAAATCTCTGCTTGTAGCGCATGGAACTGTGGACAAAAAAGTTATATTCAGTTTTCTTAATTACTACTAAAATTTTCTTTGAAATCAGTGTCAACTTTACAATGAACTAACATTTCTTCTTAATCAAAAGCATTTAATCTACATAGAAAAGAACTAAATATTTCACAATTTACACCACACTGTTTCCTCTCCAATCAACCTTTATGAAATGAATTTGGTGCAAATGTTAAGAGATTTCCTTCCTACATAATTAAACTCGGTGAAATCCTCGAACATGCAAACTAAACCCTCTTCACCTCAGATGTACGATGCCCTGGGCGCTGGTGGTGGTGGTGGCTTCCGGGTCACACGAGGTCAACGCACTTACAACCTTCCTGGGGTTGATGTCTGGGCTGAGCGGCACGATGGTGACCAGGAAGGGAGGGTTGTTCGCTGTGCCGACGGAACGCTTTTGTGACATGGCTTCATCTCTCTTCTGTGATCGGATCTGCTTCATCTGGTTCTTCCTCTGCTCGCGGCTCATCTCTTTCTTGGCTCTCCTGCTCTGGGCGGAGATGGCTACTCTGCCTGTAAAGGGAGAGAGAAAAAAAATTCAAATATTTCCTGCATTTTTAATACAAAGTAATATTCAATCTCTCTCTCTCTCTCTATGTTTCTCTCTCTCTCACTCTCTCAGGTCCAAGATTACTACAAGTTATAGCTACAATATATGCCTCCATCAGTATACAGATAAAGCCAATAAATAAAAACACTCCACCATCTACCTCAGAGGAAATTCACCCGCTGCCTTACCTTTGTTGACTTTGGAGAGCTGCCCCTTTGTACGATGCCCCAAGACTTTATGCTTCTTGTTCTGTTGCTTGAGGGCAGATGCCCGGTGCTTCGATGCCATGGCCATTTTTGCTGTAGAAGAAAATTAGTTATAGAGACCTCGGCAAATATCATACTAATGATCCCCGTCACAAGGGGAATTAAATGGCACAACTGCATAAAAATGATGTAATACACTACATTTCTGCTCTTTTACAAGTCAAAACTATCTTTTACATGTAATCTCTCTCTTATAAAATAAGGAAGCCCAAATAAAATAATTCCATTGGCATAATATACTGATATGGGGTCAGTATTGTTATTACCATTATCAGCATCATCATTATCGGGCAATCTATAATTTAACCCAACCAACGACTTTCTGATAGCCCTCGTGTCTTTCTGGTGATACATTTACATAGGTGTAGGAGGTATTTTGAAGTGGGGGGCAAAGTAGGTTCCAACCAAAAACAGCCGGGGGTCCTGGGGGGCTGCAGGCCCTTGAAGGGGTCCAGGGGCAGTGCTCCTCATTGGATTTTAGTTGTTTTAAAGAGATAAACTCATTAATTTCAGCAGTAAAGTGTCAGACATTTTTAATTAGATAACACTTCACATAATGGTTATTTTATTTTGAACACCAGACTTATTTGTAGCTGCTCTTGCTGTTGCAGGGGGTCAGTGTTCTTAACAACTGGGTATGAAATTGCAATGCTTGTATACAGGAAAATTGAGGGGGTGGAGGGCTGCCCCTCCTTTTCCTACCCTTATGATCTCATACTTCTTTCCTGTCAAAAATGCCTAGTTCTTGAGTAATGCCTACTCCTCATCCCAGTGATTTTGGGAGACCTGCGAGAAATCTGGGTTTTAGGGTGTAGGAGCATGAAAGGTAAGATATGGTGGGTGTGGTAGACCTCATACTGAAATGCATGTTACTTATTTCATGCACTCCCCCCCCAAAGAAAGAAAGAAAGAAAGAATGAGAGAAAAAAATAGAAAAAGAAAGAAAGAAAAAAGTTCTCCCAAATCCTTGAAAATAAAGTTGACATAAGTCAAAAACAACACATTTGTGACAAGAAAGGGGTACAAGATCAATCAAAGCACTATATGTATCACCACAAAAACATAAGGCAGATCAGAAAATTAACTTATGTATTAATACTGCAATTTTTTTCTAAACAATAAATATGAAGCTCCTACATCTCTACTTTTTCCATAATAATGGCTCTATGAATGGTAATTCCAGGATTTTTGTTTTGTTTTAAGCAGTACTTCAGAACAGCAAAATAATCATATTCCATGTAGCTAGAAAATAGATATGTGAGATATAGAATTTACTTTAAAATATCAAACTTCAAGGTTGGACCCTCAGTTTAGGGAGGGTCAAGTTACAAGAACCAAGAATTATTTCACTTGTCTTAGTATATTCCCCTTTATAAAGAGTAATGTATCATTCTACAGAATGAATAATGCCTGAGCCAATAAAGTCAGTAGTACAGACCTATCAGCTGAAAGATGGAAATTTACCTAGGGATTTACTATACTCTGTTATATATTTTTCCAGACAATTAAAGTCTAGAGCTATTAAGAGAAGCTTCTACTAATTTGTATCATTGTAAATACATTACAATAAATCATATCTATTTAGTTATATCATCACTAAGCTGTATAATCAGTTAACTATCGTAAAAAAAAAAAGCGGTAATTTTTTATGTGGCTTTTGTTCCCCCAGAACTTAAACATTGCATAACTTTTCAAAAATCAATCTGTTAAGGCATTGCAATAGATGAAAAGTGCATACAAATTGGTATAATTTCAGTTTCCCACAGCCAGGCAGTGGACATGGTACAACCCAGACAGTAGAACCAAACAGGTCTTAGCCCACATCCTGATCTTATCCTCCTGGAAGTCATCTTTAGAGGGGCCCAAAGATACTGACCATTGACAGCTGGCAGCAGACATTAAGCTCACACTTAAGATCCTACCACAGGATAAAAAATCCATCAATATAAACCCTGCACGCGTCAAGGACTCTGCTATCAAACAGTAATTCGTATGCTCTATCTCAAGCTGGGACACTGCACTTGTAGACGAATTACTTCATGACTGGAATCAATTTAAAAATGAAGTGAGTCAAGCACCTAAAGAAACAATTGGAATAAAAAGACCTCCAAAATGGCCATGGATATCATAGGCCATACTAAACTAGGTCTGAGAAGCATGCCTCCGTGGTGACCTAGATCAGTGCCGCCACCTCAATGGCCTTGGGAATGCTGCCATCCAGCGTGACCAAGAGAATTTCCGGGAAATACAGGCATCAGATCTCAAAGCAGCCTCTCAAAACATCAACCTTAAATAACTCTGTGCACTCCTAGAAAAAATGAAGGCCGAATCCTCCTAATTGCAGCTTTATGGTCACAGATAAACACATTAACATTCTCTCCCTCCTGAACACCTAACCCAGACCATGCTAAACTCTGATCCCAAGCAAGCCAGGTGGAGACGGCCTAGAGGAGCCCCCTGCACTCGCTGGCTCGATGTCGTCAAAGAAGAGCTCAGGCTGTGCAATGTGACCCTTAGCAAAACACATCGCCTCGTACTGGAAAGGCCTCGATGGAGAACTCTGGTTAGGCCAGTTGACTCAATGTGCCTAATAATTCAAGAAGAATGATAAAAAATGAATGAATGACAGCTATACAGTGCCTATAATGAACACAATGGCCAAAAAATATGACACTTTTCATCTATGGTATTACCTTCGCTAGATGATAATAAGAATGTTGTGAAACACGTAATACTTTGATAAACATTTACAGTAAAATGTAATAACACTATAATAATCAGAGAAAAACTATAATCACTAATACATGAAATCATCTATGTATGCAAAAAAAAGAAGAAGAAGAAGAAGAAGTCTGAAATAATGGGTAAAAGTTACCAAGAGTGACACACACAGATAGAGGTATAAGGACACAGACATCTTATATAGCATTAGGATTATAGTCATAAATAGCTACAGCAGTAGTGGCCTCATATTTACAGAGAAATAATAAAATTATCTGCTGCATTTCACCACTCAGACTAAATTCACAATACCCTTGCACAGCTAGAGTTCATAATGTCCATTTTCTATAAGTTGGCATGAAGTGTTAATAATAGGAGGTACAGGCTTGCCCCCCTTGTCTAGGGAATCAACAGAAGGTAGGATAGGTTAGGTCAGGTTTTTCGGTTCGCATGATGCCCTGGTTTAGGACCTTAGTCTCTGGAGGGTGGCGTTGATCTCCGTAACAAATAGCAAAATAAAGAAAATAAGTGTTCAGGCGGGAGACTGAGGCAGAGACCCTAATAGGAAAATGCAGTGATCGGATGGCGGTCTGCGGGCAACGCGTTCAAGGCAAGGAAGTTTTCTGGTTCATATGGCAATGTCTGTGGATTTTCCAGGAGTAGTTGTGTTATTTGATAATTGATCTCAGAGGGGTGTGTCCACTTCATAAACAGTACCAATACTTTCATTTTCATGATTTCCCAAAGAAAAAACAGACTCTTGCACAGATAACTAAGAGAAGAAATGATAACTTTTAAGATTGAATAGCTGTGAGTGAAACAAACAAACAAACAAAAAAAGATTACCTACAATTTTGCCATCCTGTGTCATATTCTGAGCTTAATTCTTACTTTTAGCTTTGGGATATAAAAACCAAGAGAACTATACCTCCTGATACCTCATATTACAGATTTCCCGACTGTCATAAATCCAACACTTCAAATTAAACTTTTCTGATGTACATATACATCTAACTTATTAAAAATTCACTATATTTTGCAACAACAAACCCATACATCTTAAAAAACTAAAATAAGCTATTGGGAAAGATAACATTTGAGATTGTGAAATGGTCTAAGTAAAAAAAACAATGACATTCAAGGCTCAGAAAAGGTCAAGTGATTCCTACGACCTTTGACCTAACAGCAACGTGACGACTTCAACGACTTTCACTTTATCAATTTATCTTGCACTTAGACTAACACTAAAATTCCGAAGAACAAATTGCAATCATATCATATTTACGAATATTAATCATCCACTCGTTAATTAATTATCTGACAGCTGGGATTATTTTTAGCCATATATTAAATAAAATCTCCGGTAATGGTATCTATTACGTCATCTATAGTTCATTAGTAATAATTATGTCATTACATCATCAAAATATATTAAAAGGAAGTAAAAAAAATCACAAACATAAACATGACAGACAAATGACCTTAATTACACTACTTCTTCCTTAATAAATTTATTCTTATGAAACCACAACACAACCAATTAATCCTTCTTCACCATCTCTCCAATCCTCCCAAAAAATCCCCCAAAACAAACCAAAATAAACCCCCAAAACCGCAAAAAAAGGTCAAATTCCCGAATCCCAGAAACCCACACATGTCCCCATCCCCCAACACTTCACCCCCAACAAACCTTCTTATCTCCTCTTCGAATCCTCTTCTCGCGCCGGAAAACGAACAGCCAATCTCCCAAAGACTAATCCCACCAATCAATCTCCTCTTCACACGCCTTCCATCTCAAGAAAATCGAAAAAAGGTGAGAAAATTTCACGCGACTCCTTCACGTCCCCGAGGAGAGGTCGATCAGCTGGAGCAGAAGACAACAGACGCACGTGGGAAGAAAACAAGTGAAGGCGGACATGCGTCGGGGAGAGAAAAGGGTTGTCTCAGTCACCATTATTACCATTACTGTACCATTTTTTCACTAGTAATTACAGTCCTGTGGTTATTAGTATCATCGTTGTTATTCTCGCTCTCTCTCTCTCTCTTTTTTTCTTTCTATCTCCTCTCTCTCTCTCCCTCTTCCTCTTTTTCTCTCTCTATCGTCTCTCTCTCTCTCTCTCTTTATCGAGCTCTCTCTGGCTGTTTAGTTGTTTATTTGGCTGTTTGTTTGTCTGTTTGGTAGTTTGGCTGTTTGTTTATTTGGTTGGCTGGTTGTTTGTCTGTTTCCTTGTCTGTCTGTCTGTTTATCTGTCTGGCTGTCTTTCTGTCTCTTTCTCTTCTCTTCCCTCTCTCTCTCTCTCTCTCTTTCTCACCTCTCTCTCGCTCGCTGTCATTCTGTCTATCTCTCTGTCTGTCTCTCTTTCTATAAAATTGTCTCTGTCTCTCTTTCTTATTGTTCTATCACTCTGCCTATCTATCTATCTGCTTATCATTTGTTTGTCTGCCTGTCATTATCTTTATCTGTCTGTCTGCTTGTCTATCTATCTCCACTAATTTTCCGGCTCTATGTTTGTATGTGTCTATCTGCCTGTCTATCTATAGAGATAGGGGGGGGGGAGGAGAAGAAAAGAAAAAGGAAGACAGACAGACTGACAGACACATATAATTTTACTTATTTATTTTTCTTATACTGGCTCCTTTTCTCCTTTTTTCTCTACCTATCTATTTGTCTCTCTCTCTCTCTTTCTCCCTCCCTCCCTCTCTCTCTTTCTCTCGCTCTCTCCCATTCCCTCTCTCTCTCTTCCCCTCCCCCCTTTTCTCTAACTCTTTCTCTTTCTCTTTCCCTCTCCCTCTCCCACCCTCTCTCTCCTCTCCTCTCTCCTTCCCCTCCCCCATTTCTCTCCAACTCTTTATCTCTCCCTCTTTCTCCCNACATATCTGTTTAGTTATTTCTATGGAAAAGATTTCTTCACTTGCCGTTTTTTTGGGACGCTTGCCTGAGATTTTCTTTTGAAATTATTTCCGAAAAAAAGGAGAGGGTTGGTCTCATCTTTAATGTGAAATTTGATAAGCTTTATCAGAAAATAACCTGCATATTTTTATTATCTTCTAAATCATCTGCGTCACAATTGCCGATTTTCAACAAGGTAACGCATCAAAAAATAATACTTCCGGTCGGACATCAAAAATGCCTCCGCTACACTAAAAAATAACGGTCGAGCCTTGACATTTTCAGGGAGAAGCGGGGGACTAACGTAAGCTACTTGCAACTGAATTAAAGTCAATGTTCGGCAAGAGGGGCGAAAATATCGCCGAAGAAATCAGCAGAAGGTCCCTTTAAGGCAAAAAACAAGCACGTCAGAATCAAAGGGTCTGACAAGGCACTGCCATGCGCCCAAGACAGTCGTCACGTTAAGTGCAGCGTCTTCTTGACATTAGGATAAAGAAAGAGAGGGAGGGAGGGAGGAGAACGAGAAAGAGGAGAGGAGAGAGAGAGAGAGAGAGAGAGAGAGAGGAGAGAGAGAGAAGAGAGAGAGATGAGAGAGAGAGAGAGAGAGAGAGAGAGAAAGAGAGAGATAGTAAGATAATAAATAGGATAGATGATAGAGAGCAGGAGAATAGAGATATTGAGCATATAGTTGGCATGTTGTGAATAGAGCACGGCAATCTCAGGATATTGCGGAAGTGAAAAGATAACTTGCACCAACGATATTTCAATAATTCGAGATTTTTGGCAACTTCAGTGTTTGTAGATGCGATGTAGGGGAAGGGAGAGAGAAAAGAGAGAAGAGGGAGAGAGAGGAGAGGGAGGGAGAGGGATGGAGAGAGGGAGGGAGAGAGAGAGAGAGAGAGAGAGAGAGAGAGAGAGAAGGAGAGAGAGAGAGAGGAAAGAAAGAGAGAGAGAGAGAGAGAGAGAGAGTAGAGAGAGAGGAGAGAGAGAGAGAGAGGAGAGGAGAGAGAGAGAGAGAAGAGAGAGAGAAAGAGAGAGAGAAGAGAAAAAGAAAGTAATAGGACGCTGAGAAAATTACTACACTAGTTTTACATTAAATAGAACCTTACACATAGAACAGAGAACATACTAACGTAGTTTTACGGAATAGGACACCGAAAACATGACTTACACTAGTTTTACGGTAATAGGGACCAAGAAATAGAGACGTTATATTCACAGACTCCGACGCCTTTCTCAGGAACGGCAGAGTGATCTTAAGCAGAAACAAGCACAGTCACGATCAAAGGGTCTGACAAGGCACTGCCATCGCCAAGACAGTCGGTCACGTTAATGCAGCGTCTTCTTGGACATTAGGATAAAGAAAGAGAGGGAGGGAGGGCAGAGAGAGAAAGAGAAAGAGAGAGAGAGAGGAGAGAGAGGAGAGAGAGAGAGAGAGAGAGAGAGAGAGAGAGAGAGAGAGAGAGAGAGAGAGAGAGAAGAGAGAGAGAGAG